GAGCACTGGGTGTTATGCACAAACAATCATGGAACACTACATCAAAAACTAATGATGTAATGTATGGTGATTAACATAACAATAAAAAATTAAAATAAAAAGTGAATGGTGGGGGGGGAGGGGGGTGGAGAAGTGGGAGAGACAGAATCCCAAGCAGACTCTGCACCAAGCCCAGGGTAGACACAAGGCTGGATCCCACGACCCTGAGATCATGACCCCAAGATCACAACCGGAGCTGAAATCAAGAGTTGGACACCCAACCGACTGAGCCATTCAGGCGTCCCAACTGATAAACATTTTAAAAGACACTTGAGTACATGGAAAGTTGTATTCTGTTTTAATTAGGAAATGCAGGGCTGGGAAGATACTCATTTTCTCTTAATCTAAAAATAGCATGTAATTTCAACTTTTTAAGGAGCATATGTTTATGTGGTTCCTTACATGGATGTTTATATAGTTCCTTTCATTTTTCCCTTTTAGACAAGTTCATTATTCTGATATTTGTGTAGAAAAGTAAATTTTAAGTATGGTAAAAAAAAATGTCTGAAAAATAAGAGAAACAGGTCTGTAAAAACAAGAGAAAGGTATGAGACTTGCTTACCTAGGTATGAGAATAAATATAAAGCTGCAGAAGAAGAATGCTTCTAAATAAAAGAATGATAGATAGGAAGCACAACAGAAGAGATTAAAAAATACAGAAATAGATCTAGGTAACTAAGCAAATTTAATGTACTCTATGTTTTCAAATTGGTGGATAAAATTTAGTAAATCACATAGGGATAACTTCAATAATACACTTCAAATTTCAATAAAACTTCAACCTGAATTTCAAATAAAAAAATATAAAAATTAAATTGATAATGATAGCTAATACCTACTGAGTGCTTATTAGGTAAGCGCACAATACAGGTACTGTTCTAAGTGTTTTATATTTATTTTATCTGCACAATGATGTTTTATTCTGTTTTTATCCTCATTTACAGAAAGGGAAACTGAAGCATAAAGAAGATGAATTATATGCTAAAAGTAACACAGCTAATAAGTAGTAGAGTTAGAATTTGAACCCCCAGACCATCTGGCTCCAGAGTCCTTGCTCTTTACCACTAGTCTGTATTGCATCTCAGAAATTTAAAGGAGTGGAGGAGGAAGAGAGGAGGGAAGTGGGTGAGAAGGACAAAGGAAGAAGGGGGTAGGAGATAGAGGAATGGAAGGGGGAGTAGGGTGGGAGTAAAGGGAGAGGAGGGAGGGTAATAAGAGGATGGGGCAGGGGGAGGGAGAGTGGGAACGGAATGTACGGACCACACAGCATGATTAAAAAGGCAAGTACCGGGCTCATTTTCCCAAACACCTCCCTGCCTGTCCTTAAAGTTCTGATCACGGTCATTTGAACAGTATATTGAAGATTGGGTACAGGATAGCTTACCATAGCCTAGGTCCTATGAAAGCCTTTATAGCCTAGTGCAAAACTCTGGAATCAAATCTGAATTAGAATTCCAGCTCCACCATTTTGTGGCTGTGTTTCCTGGAGTAAGACCTTTCTAAGCTTCAGTTTCTTCATCTGTAATATGGGATAATAAAAGTACTTGCTTCACAGAGTTAATAAAAGGATTTAAAGAATGTATTTCAAGCACTTAGTGCCTGGCACAGAGTAAGTGAACAATACATGGTAGCTCTTGTAACATTAATTAACAGACTCTATGAACACTAGATGACTGAGTTATAAAGTGTAAAAAATCAGTGGGAAAATCAGGCTCTGGGTAAGAAAGGCCATCAAACAGATAAAAGTCAGAGGTGGCGGCTCTAGGAAGGGAGAATAAAAAGACAGCTAGAGTCATACACACACCTTGGCAATTTCGGCTTCGTGTGGGAATCCCCAAGTCATACAGTGCAAAAGAGAAATGGATTCCCACAGCACTGTGTCCCTCTCAAAAGATTCCTTGACTTCTTATAAGCCCATTACCAAGAGATCATCAAAGAGATTACCAAGAGATCTGTGCCAAGAGATCATCAAAGTACTCATATTGCCGGCTTTCTGTAAGTAGCCACTACCTCTGTATTAGGGCTGTGTTTTCTATCTGCTAATGGATGTTGCCTTACATAAGAAGCAATCGTTCATTTCAAAGCCTCCCAGGCCTCCAGTCTACCGCTGGTTCTAATTTCTGCCTCAGTTATGCCAATGACTGTTAAGAGTTAAGAAAGATCTAAGTTTCATGCTTCAGAAACATAGGCTTTTATTTTGACAAAGCTATAGAGAGTGGTGACTGTAAAAGGCTAGTATATTAAATATGTACACTATACAGTATCTTAGAAAGGAGAACTTGCGTCATTTCTTTGTGTTATATACAACAAGAGAACCATGGTCCCTTCAGATGATTTTCTTTAACATATACATTCTTTAATTTCTTCTTCATCCTTATCCTCCTTGACATCAGCCACTCTGTCAAATCCTGAAAACAGGAACATAAAGAAGATCACAAACCTCAAAGAATGTCCTCAGCAATTACAAATCTAAATTATGGCCCTAGAAAAGGAGGAGATTTGGTGGGCCCAGGCGCAAGGAACTATATTCTTTCCTCTTTTTCTTGTCATTTACCTTCATAGACATTACACTGTGGATTCTAAGGCCTTCTTTCTCCCTTAGTGACCGTCCAGCTACTCCACAGAAACAATCTGGTTGTTTAAGCTGGGACCAAGGAGGAACTTTCTATGCCTACGGGTCACAGATGCTGGAACAAAGGGCTGAGAGAAGGGGTCATACTGTTTAATAATAAAAGGCCCCTGTCTGTCTGGGCTGGGTCTGGTGCTAGTGAGAGGATAATTATCTGCGGAGCAAGGACTAACTCCTTTTAGCTATGCGTCCCTTCTTTCTTTGGAGCAGCCTCTGACTGTCTGTAAGAATCCGAGCCTGTTTGCGACATCGCTCAGACAAGGGTTCCAGGAACGAATGCTTACTCTGTATTCCTAAATTTCTTCCAAAGGAATTGTTTTCCTCCAGGAATTCTCCCTCTATCCAAATCCTGGTGAAGGAGGTGTCAAAAGGCCTGACAATGTTAGTCGAGGACATGGATTCTCTCTTTCCACATCTCATTACAGAGGCTTTAAGTTCAGAGACCCACTGGTGATACACGGGGCAGGTTACACATCGAGAGAAGAATTCCTCACAGTACTGAAAAGAGAGGGAAGTCCGTGAGCTCAAGGATGAATACTTTCTTCCTCCACTCCAATCCACCAGGTCTACGACAGTGCCCACTCAGCATACTCGCTCAGGGCTCAGGGGGCAGGGAGGGGTGACTCATAGCAAAGCAGGCCCAGAGAGTTGGTTTTGAGCTACAGGGGAATTGGAATGCCTTAGATGCAGAAGGCAGGGCTGCAGGGACAGGTGTCAAACTGGATCCACTGAGAAGGGCTAAATGTTAACATTTTAACAGTATTGGGTAGTAGCTGTGCAAAAGAAAGTCAGGGAATCCAGTCCTGGCCTACATGCAAGAATACCTGGGAGGGTACATGAGATAAGTGGAAAGACTTTCTAGGTGGAGAAAAAAAAAAGGGTTTGGTCGGGGGAAAGAGAGACAGAGGCAGCAAGGAAAAGAGTAAGGGAGAGATGCAGGCAGCAGGAAAAGTACCGCAGATCAAACTAGAACTTAGGTGTCAGGTGAAGGACAGGAGAGAAGTGGGTACCTTGAGGGTTTGGCTGCGGGTCTCTGGGGGAGTATGCATGAAGACACCCTCTGGCATTTTTTGTAACATTAGCACATGGCACTCCAGGAATCGGACAAAGCCATGTGAACCAAATAGTGAGGCATTGGTTCTTTTCACCAACTGGCGAGCCTTGGAGAAGTGATGCTCAAACAGATTCCACTGGGAGTCCTGGGCAAACCTGGAGGGAAGAATCTCAGCTCCATCCCCTGCTTCACGACCACGGCTCTTTCACACAGCCATCACTTCTTTAAGGCTCTAAGACCTCCTGGACAGTCAGAACTGTGATGCTGGCCAGTGGCCAAGGCTACTAACTCACGTGAAGGAGACTGAAATGGAGACCACAGGTTATCCAGCACTTAAATGTAACCTTAAACTTAACCTTCAACCTATAGGCCCAAACCTGCTCAGGGATAAAAAGAACCCTTCTAATATGATGGGAGGGATGGGAGGTAAAGGTCTTTAGAAAGAGATGCAGAATAGCCCTGCCTGGAGGGGTAAAAGGCAGTAGCTTAAATGACCCCATGGTGTCCTTAAGTTTCTACCCTTTCCCACTGAGTAAGAATCTGGTACCCCACATTACCACATGGCCAGAGATGAGTGGACCCCCAGCATGACATTGCTCTGAGAGTTTAGAATGCAGCTGTGCTCACAGTGTTGAATGAAATGCAGACACTCACCAAAGGGCCGACATAGCAATCCTGTGGATAGAGAAGGTAACCAGGCTAGGATCAGTTGTCAGTGTAGGAACTGGTATAGAAGGTGTGTGGTACAGGGGAGCAGACAACATCTGAAATGCAGACACCCTGAGTCACATATGTGGTTCTTAGACTTTAAGAAATCAGGGGCTAGGATCAGGGACCATGCCCAAGGGACAGGCTCATGACTACCTGTGTTCCAAACACAGGGCCCTATCTAAACCCTTCAGGAGTATAGCAGAGCCCTGCACAAAATTTACCTTTTCCGTAAAGCAGCAGATCTAAGCAAGCAGAATAGAAGCAGGCCAGGTTAAGGACATCATGACCCTGGGAAATGAGCGCCCACTGACTCTCCAGCACATGGACACATAGATCAAATCTGCCAAGAGACAGAGCCACTGGGACCAGCTAGGGCGTGGGGAGGATGGTAGAGGAGAGGAGGGGATCTTACATCTCCAGAGTAGCCTAACATCCCCTAGATCTTCTTGCCTTAGCTCTATTTATATAGAAAGTATCTGTGCCTGCAGTCAGACCTGCCTCTAAGCAAAGGAAGTGGGAAAATGCCTGAGCCAGTTTCCAGGTTCTTTCTTGAGCTACTGCAATTACCTACCCCCTGCGGAGAAATGAAGCAGAGGAGGAGAAGGAGGAGAAGGGGGAGAAAGTGGTGAAGGGGAGGAGGAGGAGGAGTATGCATTTCCACTCCCAAACCCCACACTTAAAGACAATGCTTCCTGGAATGACTAGAGAAGAGGCAGCCTTGGCTGTAAGAAATGGAATAGCATCTCCCTCTCCATTTCAAACTTCTTTGGGAGACCATACCCTCCCCTCTTAGACAACAAATACAAATGGCAGAAAATGATCTTAATACTTCTTCTTCAGAAAAGCAGATCTGAAGAGAACTGAGAGAACCAGATTCTCCAGAGCTGGTTTCTTGAGGTGTCTGCATATCTCATGAGCTTGAAAACCTAAGGAGGTCAAAGAGCATTGTGTGAGGCCTAGTGGTGAACTTGGCTTCTCTAAAAGCCCTAGGCCCACCAGCTCCAAGCCCCATTACCCAGCTTGATGGAGAAGTCAAGATGGCCAAGGCAGAGCTTGGTGTAGGCCAAGGCCTGCATGAGCTGTGCTGTGGCCAATAATCCCTCCCTGGAGAACCAACACAGGCTGCTTTTCTGAATGGCCATCTGCTCACACTGCAGCCACCTGTCTCTGTCCCCCATATTCTGGGAGAACTGGGATACAGCCACATAGGTAGAGACAACCTGTGGGACAACAAATATGGGGCAAAATATTCTGACTGTACATTCACGCTACACTTCCATCTTGTCCCTTTCCTGCATAAGAGCCCACTATGGTGTCTTGTTGCCCACCTGACCAGGGATTGCTGGCATCCCTATCACTCTCCCCGACTCCTGCTATGAAAACACACTCCTTGTTGCCCCCACACTTCTCATTTGATCATTTCCACTGCCTGATCTTTAAACAAAATATTTTCTCTACCTGCCCTTCTTGTTCTCCAATCCCAGACTTCCAATTCAAGACACTGGCCAAACTGTACTTCTATGTTTTCTCTAATGAAGGCCTCTGATACTTGTTCCTTAGAACTCTTCAGAACTGCTGCCTAGATGTCTATTATAAGTATGTGCACATTTGACATCATTGATGACTCTCTTCTTGAGACACTGTCTTCACTAGGTTTTGAGGACATCATACTCTCTTGGCAACTGCTCAGTTTCTTTTGCTGATTTCTCCTTATGACCCTGACCTCTTAACACTGGAGCTGTTAACTCAGTCCTTGGACCTTTTCTCATTCCCTGGAGAGGTCATCTAGTTTCATGGCTTTAGATACCATTTACACACTGATGACCCCTGTATTTCTATTTCCAGCCCAGACTTCTCCCATGCACCCCACATTCATATATTCAGCTGCCTACCTAACATCTCCATCTAGATGTCTAATAGGCATCTCAAATTAAACATGTCTAAAACCTGGCTTCAGTCTTCCCCCAAATCTGTTTCTTGTGCATACGGCCCCATCCCAATTAAGAGCATCTCTATCTGTCTAGAAGTCCAGGTTGCAAATCTTGGGATTATCCTTGACTCTTTTTTCTCTCCCATGCCAGAAATGATCCATTTGGTGAATCCTGTTGGTTCTCGCTTGACAGAGGACCACTCCTCCTGCTTCCTCTGCCACAACAATTCAAGCCAACTATCTCTTGCCTGTATTGCTGGGATAGTCTAACTTGCCTCCCTGCTTCCTCTCTTGCCTCCTTCAGTTGATTCTCAATACAGCAGACAGAATGATCCTATTAAAATATAAGTAGACTCTGTCACTCCTCTTCTCAGAACCTACCACTTGCTTCTCATCTTCTGTAGAGTAAAAGTCCAAACCCATAGAGTGGCCCACAAGGCTACGTCATCTGCCATCCACCCTCTCCTGGCTCTCTGACTCACCTCCTGATTCTGTCTCCTCCCCTCTAGTCACGCTGGCCTCCTCACTGTTTCTCAAACACGGACAGCATGCCTTGTGTACCACTGTGCCTTCTACCTGTTCACTCTTCTCCCTGATAGCCATATGGCTTACTTTCTCACCTCCTTCAGATATTTCCCAGATGTCACCTGCTTGTTGAGGTTTTCCCTGCCATCTTGTTTCAAACTGCACCCCAACCCCCAGCTCCTAGAACCCCATGGCCCCTTGCCTCCACTTAATTTTTCTCCACTGCACTTATTATCAACTAACATTCCGTATGTTTCACTGATCTACTGTTTGTTTCCCTGGAACCAAGATCAGTGCCTGGCACATAATGGGTATTCATCAAATATTTATTGAACAGATGGATAAAAAAGACAGACAGACGGACACTAAAATTAGGAAGATATTTCCCTTCTTTTTTCCTAAGTCAGCAATTCAAGTCCTTTTTTAGCTTATGGACTCCTTTGAGAATCTGATGAAACCTATGACCTGTTCCCTACCTCCCTCCACTTGTCAAGTGTTCTTTTGAATATACGCACCAAAGCTGACGTTCAGTTTAGGGAACTCACAGACAGCCACACCTGAAAACCCATCTAAAAACTGCAATATGAGAAATGCTGCTCAAACATATGATCAGTGTGTCTCATAGAGTCTGGGTTATTGTGGAGTCATGCTAAACCCAGGAATCTCTCTCCTTAGCATTTTAGGTTTCCGAGTGAGGTCTGGAGGGAAAGCAAGGACTTGCTTACCTGGGCTTCATTTGCAAACTCCTCAGCAGAATTCTTCTGCATAAGAGTGGCAAGGCAGGCAAACCTGCGGCTGCTGGCTGTGGTGTCCAGGTTATAGAGCTGCCAGAGCAGGGAGAGGCAGTGGACCCGCTGCTGCAGGACTGCCAGCTTCTTCTTACTGCTGTGAAGCACAGAGCGCTTAGCATGCCCTTAGTCTGCACCACTGCCCCACTGTCCCTCACCACAAAAATCCAAATCTATTCATCAGAGGGCCATCTACAGACTTTCAAACTCAGACATGTTCCTGGGATCCCCATAAGCCTTTTTAAATCATCCCTCTTTTTTTTTTTTTTTAAATAGGCCCAGCGTGGGACTTGAACTCGTGTCCCTGTGATTAAGTCTTGTGCTCTTGCTGACTGAGCCAGCCAGGCATCCCAAATCATCTCTCTTGATTGAAAAATTTCAAATACGTGTTTTTAAAAGGTTCATCCTTTGAATTGCTATTTTGAATATATTTCCTATAAATTATTATAGCTCAATAATTGGGGTAGCGATTTAATACTCTGTATGTATATCAGAAATAATATTGATACATATATGTATATATGTATACACATGTATACACACATACATATGTGTATCTTGATTTGAAAGAGACAGGGTAATATGTATCTTTATTTGAAAAATACAGAGTAACACCATACTTCAAAAACAAAAGAAGTCCTCACTCTGCTACATTTCATTGGCTCGGAGAGTAAGGTAGAGGAACTGGAAGTGCTATAGGCTTGAAAGAGGAGTCTTAGGTCAATAGAGGCAACACTCCAGGCCCAGTCCTAGTTTAGTTCTCTGTGGTCCTAAATGAACCAGGATGACTTGGCTAGGCTCCTCACTTCTCACTAGGGTTGTTTGGAGGTTGGCTTAGGGAACAGGAACGCCAATATTTTTCCAGGAATGTTTGAAAAAAGACACCAAACCAAGTCCAAGGGAAATTCCTTTTCAGCAGTCGAAGGGCTTGCCTGGCCAATTTTTTGGCCAACGTGATCTGTCCCATGTTGAAACAGACCTGGAGATGGGAAAATGAGAAACAGTAATGTAAATGTGGGAAGAGTACTACAGATGAGGCTCTGGTCATTTGGGGCTAGTACTTGGGCTGCTGAGGCGCTAGAGTGAGAGCTGCAGCAGGGCCTGGCTATACTAACGAGCACCAGCAGGGCCATGTGCAGGTAAAGGGAAGAGAAAATAGGATTGTGGAGAAAACACCCTCTTTTCCCATCTCCCACGTTTGTCAGTAAGAAGGCTGTGATTTGGAAAGTGATGCTGCTGGACTGAGATGAGACTGTCATGCACCAGAGACTCAGATGTTTCAGATGCCACTGAAAGGATCTGAAATGTCACCAAATCCCTTATCTGTCTTCCTTAAATAGGTTGTGCTGCCACTGTGCATGTGGGGGTAGGAGTTGAAGAACTACCCTGAGGTTATCATATCCTTCATGTTTTAAGACTAAATCCTCCAAGAAAGTGATAAAGTCTGGTGATTCAAGAACAATCTTGGGAAGACTGCACAATAACTTCTTCTTATAAAGGGAAAGAAATAATTATTTAACCTTACTCAAAGACCTCTGGATTGAAACGCAGATAATACAATACTATGGAAAACTCTAATATTCTCTTTGGCATTCAAAGGCATTATACATATCAGGTTTACTCTCCTAGCCAGATTATCTTAAGGTTTACATTGAAATTAGTTTTTAATTTTTTTTAAATTTTAAAGCTCAGCTCTCTAACAAAACATCCCCCATGGTTTTATGGAGTCATTATGTATAAATTGACAATTATTCCAACACATTTGTTCTGTTGATTTAATAGTAGTGAGGCTGGGAAAAGTTGCTGAGCTGTCCTGAGTTATTTTTATACAATAAATAATTTTACTTCAATATGTCCTTTGTAAATAGAGTGTCTCATGGCATGCTTTCCCCAGAGCTTCTACTTGTTATATAAATCTCATTCCCTGAGGAAATTGTTATGATATAGAATGATCTATGAGGTATATTATTTTTTTTAAAAGCAAGATGTAGAATGGAATATAGAGAGCTCCTATTTGTGTATAACAAAGGAAAGGGGAGACCATATACATTTATGTATGCCAAACCCCTCTGGTAGAATAAATATAGATTCATAACGTCAGGGAGGGGATGGGGTTGGAAAGTGATGCCGGAAAGATTGCTGGAAAGATTCATAACATAGCTGGAGTGATGGGGTTGGGGGTGGGGAGACTTTCAGATATATGTTCTTTTTTTTCCCCCTAGCTTTATTGAGATGTGTTAAGCATTGTGTTAAGTTTAAGATGTATGACACGATTTTTTATTGAGATATAACTGACATATAACATGTTAGTTTTAGGTGTCCAACATAAATTTTTTTCTTGATGAGAACTTTTAAGATCTATTCCCTTAGCCACCATGACCAAGTGGGATTTATCCCTGGGCTGCAAGGTTGGTTCAACATCCGCAAATCAATCAATGTGATACAATATATAAACAAAAGAAAGAATAAGAATCATACGAGCCTCTCAATAGATGCAGAAAAAGCATCTGACAAAGTACAGCGTCCTTTCTTGATCAAAACTCTTCAGAGTATAGGGATAGAGGGGAAAATACCTCAATATCATAAAAGCCATCTATGAAAAACCTACAGCGAATATCATTCTCAATGGGGAAAAACTGAGAGCTTTCCCCCTAAGGTCAGGAACGCGGCAGGGATGTCCACTATCACCACTGCT